TGGCGGTGCAGGAAAGCCTCAATGTCGATGAGACCTCCGTCTCGCTTTAAATAATAAAAGGCACCTGAAGATGAGAAGGGCAGACAAAAGGTTGGTTAAAAAGTATGGCCGGATGGATGAATTTTGGGATAGGAATTATCAAAGAGCAAAATTTGTGCAGCATAATGAATTCATTTTGGCTCCTTGGGGTGTGCCACTTGGCCCCCCGGGTGGCATTTTTTTACTGTCATGGAGGCAAATGAGAAAGAGTTTTATTCAGCTAACTAACACAATAATCTACAAAAAAAATAGTCGTACGTGAGTATGGTTGTATTGTCTGTCTACATGTGTTGCACCATTGTTTGTAGATAGTGGATAAGGCGGTTCTAAAACTATGACAAAGCTTTTTTTTTTTTTAACTTACATATGAACTTGTTCTTAAGTATAGAGAGTACTTCTGCCACCTCCGTTTTTAGAAGTGTGACCCTGAGCATAGGACAACGTTTAAAAGCAGGTGAGAATGGAAAGCGGGGTCCCGGGTTGAACAATAAACTTCCTACAAAAACAGGTGAAGAGCTTTTGGAGATCTCTTGAGACCCCTTTTTCAACCCAATGTGGTTGGTAGAGCGAAGCCTCCGCCTGGATCGCTCTAGTTCTGCTCCGTTGATCAATAACTAAATCTGACCTCCTGTTGGACACATGGTTTCAATACAGGACTGCCAAGGGTCATAATCGCCCCCTGTTAAAGAGCCCCTTCCTTAACACATGTATACACACACACACACACACACACACACACACACACACACACACACACACACACACACACACACACACACACACACACATGCCTCTCCTGCCCCAAAAGCTACATGCGGTTCTCTCCCAGGACGGGCTAAATTAATGAGATCAAGATGTAGCCACTGATGGGCCAGTCAACATGTGCTAGTGTACCCCACGAGGAGCTACACGCTCCCCTCTCTCCTGTCAAACACACTTTTTGGTAAGTGGCTCCTTTCTTTGAGTTGGGCCAACACGGGGGTCATTACATGGATAGGTGAGCCGTACTCAAGTCCGATGGGCCAGCTCATCATCACGAGGGTCATGAAAGGACAGCGAAGGGAGCCCCACCCCCGGATTGCCTCAGCGTCAAGCTACGTGGCTCGTTTGATGAGCGTAATGTAAACGGAGGTAACCTGGCCAACAATGGATGTACATGTAATCTCAGCGCAGGGCCAGCCCATTTGAGCCGCTCACTCATCAGAAGGGTCGGTGTAATTAGCGTGGTTTACGTTAGTCAGAAATCCTAAACCGAATTGCCCAATCGAGCCGGAGATAAATGACGAGCTTACATAAAAAGAGAATACATACTATTTGTAGAAAGAGAATACTGTTCGCTTTAACAGCAGCTCATTGAATGAAGTCTAAAATTTGTATGAATCTATAAATGTGATACTTTTCTAGTGGGTGCAAGAACATATACACTTTCTCGGGGTGTTGGCATTACATGGAAAAAAAAAATAAACCGTTGACTTAGGATTGATGAAATACAGCTGTGCCTTGACATACGGTTGACCACAAACAGCAATTGGGCAGATATAATTCGTCAAAATTATGCATTGCCCTGCTCAGCTGAAGTTAAACATAAAACAAAGAGATTTACACTTTGTATATTTAAAACAACCACTTAGCTTTTATTTCCAGAATGCTGCCATCGGCACACAGGCTAACAATTAGCATCTATACTGTGTTGTTGCCATTTAGCTGAACTCAATCTGTGCTGGAACAACTGTAGACAGACCATATACCAACACTCACAGGCATATATGCTTTATCCTCTGCGACGAGAGGAATAATATTTCTTTAAATGCCATATGGAGAAGACGAGTGAGGACCTGAGCATCCAGTACAGTACATCTATATGTCTGTCTTATACCGCCCCCAAGTGGCCAAGGCGCACACACCAGATTCGAAGGAGAAAGTGTGACACAACTGTTGAATTATTATTATGACTTCATAAAATGTACTTGCATGTTGGGTGAAAAAGAGCCGCGGTGGCCACAATAAAATACATGAACACAACAAGAACACTCAAAGAAGACCTGCTGTTGGCCACAGCTCACACCCAGGCACCCACATCAACACCACAAGCCACCTCACCAGGTCCCGCCGAGAGTATGCATTTTATACAAACATTTTCAGAAATATGTGGATGCTAAATTTGCATAAAGCAGTTCTGCATTGCTCATGAAGAATACGTATCACTATATGTCTTCATAAAGGTAAAAGTGCTGTTACATTTATCCACTTTGTAATTTTATAGTTTTCTGAAAGTAATGCTACTCTCCATAAAATGGATTTCTGAAACAGATTTAAATGATTTCCTATGGAAAATATTGTTCTGGTTTTCATACAGATTTGTTTCAGGATAGTTTTTGGAAAAGATTCATCATAAAACCGGAAATTTCACTGCGGAGAAAATGTATGGATTTCAGGCCTACCTTGCTCTGACTGTATTGTCCATACTGGTACGATGGGTGGTGGTCGACGGCGTAGGCTGGCGAGGTGTAGGAAGACGGGCAGTAAGACTGAGTGCTCGGCAGGGTGGGCATGCCGGTCAGACCCGGTAAAGCCTCCAGCCGTTGGGAGCCGTGACAGCTGGCAGCCATGCCGGCGTTAGGCTCCAAGCCTCCGGTCAGAGGGGAAATAGCAAAGTCACTCTGGGGCTGATGAGGCACTCCGCTCGGGTTCAAAAGGCCCATCACCTGTGGGGAGAGAGAGAGAGAAAGAAGGAAGCTTGGGGGATTAGAAGACAGACTAAAAGACATTCAATCAACTCGACTCAGGTGGGCTCAGAGAAGTGGAGGCGCAGTCATTGTTCATTGTCAGACCACACTGGCGAAACCTCATACATGTGGTTTCTTTTTATTCTGCTTGAACTGACAAGGGAACAAGGGCGTTGATGGCTCTTGGTTACTATAGGGAAGCTTTCATTAGATCTTCACTGTCAGACTTGTGGACAGAGCAATCCTATTTTTTCATTGCTGGTCACAGCTATAGAAGATTTGCATTCAATTTTACGGTCAAAACACGTTTCGCAATGTACGAGGCCATGAGATGTGGCTTGCTTCGAAACAGAGGTGCAGAAGCATTATTTCAGAAGCGTCAGCATGAGATGGTATATGAAAATATGTGTGGGTCTATTTCATTCACCACAATAAAAGAACGAAACTTGTGTAGTGGGCGTGACCCCTTGCTCAAGGGACACTCAAAAGTGGCCAGCAAGCAGACCAGCATCTCTCCAACATCTAGTCGCCATTTATTTATTTATTCATACATACATAACAGAGAGAGCGGAAGCTCATCCACGAGAATTTTTTTGTGTGTAATTTACCACTGCTCAATAAAATTAAAAAACAAAACACTCACCAAAGACTAAGCACAACGCTAACTCTAAAACCCGCTTTTTTGCAGGATTCGTGAAGCAGTTCTGGCTTAATCTAGTCAGATATTTGCATCAAACAATTGGAAAATACGCACTTTCTGCAACTTTGAAGTGTCCCAAATTTATGTTTATGTCTGCGCACAGACTGGTGTGTCTGTTCTAAAACACGCCCTCTTTCAAAATCCCTTGATGCCCTAAAATCACCGTGTCCTTGTGAGGCCGAGAGGCCAAAAGGGTACGTGGGAACAAGGGGTAGGGTGTGTGTGTGTGTGTGTGTGTGTGTGTGTGTGTGTGTGTGAGACGTCGCCAATGTGTCGAACCCGAACCGCTGCTCGTGTGCATAATTTCTTTGCAGTTTTTGCTCTGATGTCAGGGGCGCAGCGCCCGGTGGTGATACATCACGAACAGCTGCGCACAGGTTTGCGTGAGAAACAAAGTCATGAAATTGTCTTTTAAAAGTAAAAAGGGGGCGGCTGGACATCGAAGGGGATTTGGAGAGAAAGAGTTACAGTCTGTGTAATGAGAAGAAGAGGTGAGGGGCCTGGGATGGAAAGACAGCAGAAATAATGAATGACTAAGACGTAAAGCAGATTGAGGCAGAAAATGAGGCTTCCCAAACTTGGGGGCCATCTGGCATGTGTGCTCTGATCATGATTGATGACTGATGGATGTGATGTAGGCTGTCAGTGATCAGACCTCACATATTGTCAACTTACGTTAACCCCGATTCAACCAATAAAGATCTGTGCAAGAACTGTCAGTGATCAGACCTCACATATTGTCAACTTATGTTAACCCCGATTCCACCAATAAAGATCTGTGCAAGAAAAAAAAATCGCAATATTTTAACAACAGGAACAGAAGAGACGCAGTCATCAGGCACATCAATCAAACAAAACTGCTTTTTTTTCTCCGATTTGAAGTTGATATGTCTCCCTGTAATCGGACTGGTTTATTTCTTTTAACCTGTAATATTTTTTGCCGGGATCACTGCACAGTGAATGTAGTAAAATGAGCTTTCCTAGATAGATAGATAGATAGATAGATAGATAGATAGATAGATAGCAAGCTAGCATAAATTGCTAGCTAACTAGCTCATGAGCCGGCGAGATAAATTCACTGGGTCAACCACTCACAGCACACACACAAGGGATATGCACACTAATAATGTACAATGACAAAGAGAATATTGAAACAATTTAAAAATAATCAAAGTGGATGCTAATTTTTTTTCAATTCATCAAATCAAGTTAATGCTCTTACATAAAATCTTGCCAATTAAACTTTAGAATTAAAAAGTATATAACTGTAGCGTAGGGTAGAGTGAAACTGATTAAATGTGTGTGATTAGAAATGAAAAAATATATATTCCACCGCATAAAAATGAATTATTCTAAAAATGGTACTTTCACGTAATTATATAGGATATGGAAAAAAAAAATTATGAAGCCGTAACATGCATTGCTCGAATGCAGAATTTTTATTCTCAAGTGGTCGTGCAGGCTTAGGAAATAATACACGTCCATGAGCCGACATTTCTACAGCAGCCGTTGGTGGTGCCGTGTCTGTTTTAAGGTTGTTCCGGGGATTAGGTCTCAGTGGGGGTGCAAATCCCAGCCGCTCGCTTCCTTGGTGAGAATGGATTGCTTCGGTATGCACCAGATCAGCAGAGGGATGCCAGAGACCTTGCGCCGAAAGAGGAGGCAGCGAGCGCTCCGATCACAGCTCCCCGAATATCTCCGACGACTATCTCACTCATCTAAAGACAACCTTATCCATATCAGCCGCTAGGTCCTGATATGACCATATCTGGAGTTAACTGAACATCTGAATCTCCTGATGGGTGTAGAGGAGCAACAAGTCCGGCTCACTCACTCAAGTTGCAGTTCAGATAAGCAAATAAGGGAGAATTAAATGGTGGGTTTGCAAATTAAGGACAAAAAATAAATCGCATTTTGTTAGCTTCGTCATAAATTTGACTTGACAGTAGAACGTGATCAATATCATCTGTGGACAAATTTGCTGTCACCTTGTTACCCTACAAAAATATCTTTTTCATAATGCTGTTTTATAATAATATCAAATCGGTTTGAAGTTTCATTTTTTTTATTGTTACGTCCTCATTCACACCATCTGTCTCGGATTGGTTGCTTTTCCAAGGGCGCGGTAGTTTCTTGTATCAGAGATGGATGGATTTTTTTTTCCACATATATTTATTGCATACTGCAGTCAGGTCATGACTGTTTTAAAAACACGAAACAAAAGGGTGCTTTTTAAAAAATGCTAACTTCCCCTTTCACAGAAACGAAGCCATAAAAAAAACGTGACTGTGAAGTTCTTTAAGTCTTCATTAACTCTCAATGTCATTGAACGTAATCACTCCTGCTCTCCAATTTAGTCCAAATGAGGAAATGAATTATTTCCTAATCTGAAATGGAGAGAGCTACGTTGCGAGATGCATTCAAACAGCTGCAATGAATACACAAATTAAAAGAAATTAGCCAACAAAGTGAATCATTTGCATAAATTACACACCGCGTTACAAGAGGATAGATTACTTCGTTCCCTTCAATTAAGACACTCGGGCAAACGTGTGATTGCAATTCCAGACTGACATTCCTGGCACGCCGTATCCATGTAAGACCTTGTGTGCGAACCTGCCCGCCAAAGGTTAATGCTGAAACCAGCCAGTAGGACACTCAACCTTTGGCCTTCTTTATTGGCACGCCGCGCACTTTGTGACCCTGCGAGTGTATGAATTCACAGGACAGGAGCGGTTACAAGTTCTAAAGTTTAATCCGCTTAAAAAAAAATAATAATAATCCCTTGCAAACCGATAATGTGCGGCATGACGGTTCATCACACCGACTATTTTGTCAATATATGCTTCCACACGTGTTAGGCAAAAACCTCATTTGGCAGCAACACCTGCTTTTTCATTTCAAAGCCGTCCGTTCGACTGTGAGCCACCTATCACTTCCTCCCAGCGCAGGCCATATGATAGATAACCCTTGATGTAGGGAATGCAAACTCGTAACAAACCTGCCTTGAGGCACTTGTTTTTTATCTGCGCCTGACAGGATGCAGAGATTCTCTCTCGTGGGAATTAGTACCCAGCATGCATTGCATCTGAGCCCGACCACCCTTTGTGGAGGCTAAAAGCTCGTTTTCCGCCTGTTAGACCATCTTCTGGCCCGGTAGGGAGCCACTGATGGAGCCTGATGACTGTGTAATCGGTCATAATTGTCTTTTCAGTTTTGATTTGTGTCATCGCGCCACAGCCATACACGCACACGCTCGTATCTGCCGACTTCCTCTAAAGACTGACATTTGCCGCATTGGAAATTCATCAACCCGTCCATGTGAACACAAATGAAATGCTCCCCTTTTTTTTCAAATACCAACAAGGATCTCGTCAATGCCAAGGCAATGACATGGACAAACTGCATGGACCAACCTGAGGTGAGAGGCTGTTGCCAATGGCGGCGGGGTTGACGGTGTTGCCGTGTCCGGCCGGGGCCACGAAGCTGTCCGAGTATCCTGAGAAGCCGTGACGTCCGGAGGAAAGGCAGTACGCCGAACCTCCGTCCTGAGCGCTGGACGACGAGCTCAGCCCGCTCTGGTGCACAGATGTCGGCGGCAGAGGCTGCGGTCGATGGACCGTGCTGGGCTGTTCGGTTGCTGTTCGCAAATAAAGAAACCCCACTAAGAGTCATATTGGAATGAAGCTTAAGGAGAGCAGATGATGAAAAGTATGCCGTTGAGGGTGGACGAGTGGTCAGCACGTCCACCTCACAGTCCAGAGGTGTAGGGTTCCTGTGTGGAATTTGCATGTTCTCCCTGTGCCTGCGTGGCTTTTCTCCGGGTACTCCGGTTTCTTCCCACATTCCAAAAGCATGCATGGCAGGCTAATGGAACACCCTAAATTGTCCCAAGGTGTGACTGCGAGCATGAATTGTTCGTCTATGAGTGCCCCTGCGATTGGCTGGCAACCAGTTCAGGGTGTCCCCTGCCAACTGCCCGAAGACAGCTGGGATAGGCTCTAGCTCGTCCGCAAGCCTCGTGAGGATAAGCGGATTCGAAAATTGATGGATGGATGAATCTGATGCGCAAGTGTACCTAAGAAAGGGAATTTCTCCAAGGAGGCTCACCTTGAGCTATTGAAGTTGCGGGATAGGGACTCTCAGGCAGCTGATAGGGCTGCAGGCCCGACATAGCTGATGGAGGGAAACCGCCCGGGATGAGGTGATTGAACGCCATCAGCTGATTGGCTCCCGCTTGCTTCCTCCACCGGGCTCTTCTGTTGCTGAACCACACCTGATAGCAGAACAAAATCGTGTTCAGCGGTGATTGCCACCCGGGGTGGAGTGTCACTGTGGTGTGTCATGAGACCTCAACAATTTGAATTTATTTGTCTCAATTATTTCCGAAATCTTTGTTCATCTATGTTTCCGAGTGACATGTGACAGGCACAACAATTACAATGTTCTGATGACAGAAGGAATAATAAACCTCCTGCTGGCATGCATATAACAGAATAAAAGGGATGAGCAACTGGCTGCAATGCAACTACATTCTGAGTGGCACCCGGATTAATAAAAAAAAATTAAAAAAAAGGGGGCGGGGGTCTTTTTTTTTTTTTTACAACTTAAATTTTTCAGTCAATATATGTTGTCATATAAAACTATAGGAAAAATATTTATTAATATAAATATGAAAAAAGTTATGAATATGCAAATCTACAGGGGCCGAACACTGAATCTACAGGGGTCAACTGTTGTTTTAAATTGTAATGTCTCCAATCACCAGTAGATGGCAGACATTTCCCAGTTCCACTGACACTGGGTCTTAGAATGTGAATGGGCCTAATATTTTTTTGCAGATTAGGAATGAGAGGCAGGACAAACATATTGCCTCAATAATGTTACAATTTGGAGGGAGTCGATTTTTGTGAAGAAAATGTACAAAATTATTATTCTGTCATACATCTTGGTTAGGAAATACGTATTCCTGCAAGTATGACATGAGTCAGTTTGTGAGTAAATTGAGACGAGATCATCATTACTTTAACTCATAAGTTTTGTGACATTTTTGTTTTGGGGGGTGGCGCACCATGAGGTTTTTCTAAATGGGAGCCTTGGGTGGCAAAGGTTGGAAGACACGAATTTATCTGATGACCTCACTAAAAAAAAGTTGACTTTTTCATTACTTGTTAAAAAAAAAAAAAAAAGCTATTCTGTATCAGTACAGGAGCTGAACTGATAAAGATCTTAACATGAGAAGCGTGTCGTGAAACCACAGACATCTTTGTGTGCTGCGGCGAGTCACCGGGTTCAAATAAAGCCAGAGGGCTGTTCCAGCTGTTAAAGCTTCTATCAGCACACCATCAGAACAAGCAGAGATGTATTTCGGGGATCTTCACATCTCCGCTGACAAAAATAGGAAGCTGTCCTCACATACAGTGGGTGCAGTGTGTCTGTCTACATGTCAAGGGCTTGAAGATTTAACACACGTCTCACGGCTGTACGGAATGAGTGGCAACATCCCGAGGCCGTTTAACACCCGCATGATCCACAACAGAGACACTCCTCAACTTACAGTCAAGATTGGATTTTGGGGGCGAGATATGGGAGAGCACGAACCTGAACACGAGCCTCGGTGAGTTTAGCCCTCTGTGCCAGTTCCTCCCGCGTGTAGATGTCGGGATAGTGCGTGCGCTCGAAGGCCCTCTCCAGTTCCTCCAGCTGCTCCGCCGTGAAGGTGGTCCGACTGCGCCGCTGCTTCCTCTTGAGGGGCAGGCCCGGCTCGGAGTCCACGTCGGAGCCCTCGTCCGAATGACTGGCTGCAAAACAAATAAAGTGTCACTCGAGGAGTCCCGCAGAGGTGCGCTAAGCCGTGATACAAAAGCCAGATCCGAGACAAAAGGTTTCAGTGAATGCAGCACATGGTACAGAGCCACTTTAGATTGTCTTCTCCCGCTTCTTTTAAACTCCTCGGTGGTTCCTGAAGGGATCAAAAGCCGGAGATTGCTTGAACACGGATTAAGGAGGACTAGATCTCACCGGGGTTTCCATTCCCCGGGACACTGTGTCTCTCCCGGTCTTAGCCATGCTGTGCGCTATGTACCGATAGGGTCCCAGAGTTAAGGGTGCTCGGCCCTTTGCAGGTGCTTCTTAATCTGTTTGTTCAGTTGAAGGCCGGAGAGAGCGAGCGGGCGACTGAGGGACGGCTTTTGGGCTGTAATTCAGCAGAAGACTTGAATCAATGAAGGCCTTAAAGTAGAGGACGGAGACTATTGCATTGTCTGTGGGGGGGGGGGGGTCACCCCGTCTATTAAATAATGATTAGGCTTCGCTAACTAGCGTGACAGCCCGCTATTGTCCCCAATTACACATATGCAGTCTCACTTCTCTTTCTCAGTCACAAACATGCATCTGCTACGTCTCAGCCTTTGCAGGCTTTCGCTCAAAGAACACTGTCTGGCACAATGTGTTGGACACAGATGGACTTCAGAAAGAAAGAATCCACTCCCCCAAATCCACTCCAGAGGGCCCACTCAAGCTCACGAGGAGGGTTCACTGCACCTTTTTGACATTGAGAAAACGAGAAGTGAGAAGGTTACCCCAAGCGCCGGCACAGAGGATTGTCTGTTTCCCGCCCAGACTCGCTCCTCCACTTTCCTCCTGCCCTCCAGATTTAAAGTTTTAATTAAAAAGTGCCAAGTCAGACATCGACGCAGGAGAGGAGGGGGCTTGCAGGGATCTCCCCTTGCCTCTGGAGCCAAGCAGGAAATGTTTGCGCCGGTTGCTAGTGTGCGTCTGACCAGGCATTACACACGGATTTGGGCCCTGGGAAGTCTGCGGTGCTGCAAACTGCCGGCGCAGAAGATTCGGAGGCTCAGGAGAGGTCTTTGCTACCCGGGTTATAATCGTTTTGGAATTTTCATTATGGTTGTTTTTTTTTTTTTTTTTAAATATTAATTTTAATTAGTTCTCAAAGTGGTTTATAATAGTTTTTCGAAAATTTTATTTCAGGTTTCATTCATTTTAGTATTTCCTCAAAATCTTTATTACTTGTCTGCAAGATAAAAAAAAAATTAAATATAAATATAAATAAATATAAATTAAAAAAATATATAGATTGTTTTAATTCATATACAAACCAAAAAAAAAAAAACCCAAAAAAAGAGAGCACTTGTTACATCGCATCACATTTTGGACTGAGTTAAATGACACAAAAGCCGTGGAGACATCTGAGCTATAAAAACACGTTTATTGCCTCAGAGAGGTCATCTGGTGGCGCTTTTGCATGCGCTGCTGCCAGATGACGTCGCTTCTCGGTGAAAAAAAAAGGACCACCTCTCCCAGACGACTGTTTGACCGTCCTTCTAGCGGCTAATGGCTGTGCTGTCGTACAGCCCAAACTATATTTTAAAACAACCCCAAGGGCTCATGTATTGAAATGAATTGACAAGGACGAACATGAAGGACATTTTTGCGATGATCAGAGTTACTTTTTGTTACTTTTTTCCAATTTCCGTTTTAGTTATTTTATGAGTTTCCGTTCACAAAACTAATCTTGTTTATTATGCCACGCTGGCATGCAGGCTCGCACAGGGCGATTGAGGCCGAACGCTCAACGACTCCTGGACTACGAGGTTGTGGTTTGTTGATGAGGCCTACAGGAAAACATCACTTGATACTCTTCAAACATTAGCATTGCTTCGTCATGGATTTGCAACATTCCTTAATTTGCACCAAACAAAAAAAGTCAGAGAAGTAAAGATGCTGCAGAATGGGTTCCTGAAGGAGGGAAAGGGAGCTCATAAAGTTCCCCATTGGCACAGTAAGTCATGTTAACTGTGGAGCGGGGGTTGGCTCTTGCCTCCTTTTGCTGCCTTTTATTTCTCTCCCCCCCCCCCCGTTCCTTGTTTTGATTATTAGAAACTAGAGAAAACACTCCGTCACAGACGCGATCCTAATGGCGGATGACAGTGTTGCTTTTGTCATCCTCTGCTTTGCACTCTCTTTTTGCACTCTTCCTCTCTGTCTTGCGTTTCTTTTTTTTTTTTTCCTTGCTTTTTGGTGGAAGTGATGTGGCCAAGTCTTTGTATCTTCGCAGGGAAAAGCCTGTGGCAGGCCTCTATTGGACCGATTACCACGGTCCATCTGTAGGAGCCATCAGGGACGCCCGGGCCCGCATTCAGGGGCCTGTCACCTGCCCAGTAGGGGAGTGAGTGGGAGGAGGGGGGGGGTTGCAGTGGGGGAATGAAGGGTGGAAGGGAGGGCTGGGCCACAAAGGGGTCCAAGAAGTGCCACTGGGGGGATGCAGAGGGGCACAGCAGGAGAGCAACCCCTTCATCCCCTCCCTCGACTGCCTGAGGGGCATCGGCTTTTTTTTTTTTTTTTTTTTTTAACGGGGTAGGAGGGGTGATGAAGCCAAGGGTGGGGGTCGACTTGGAGAGGAGGCTGGTGGCACCTGAAGATGCCGGCAAATGGGTGCATGGGCGCCAAGATCATCCCCGCTGTGTCGCCACCTTCCCAATGAGGCCACTTTCCATCGCATGCAGTCGCAAATTTGTTCCCACACATTCCCCATTACAAGCAGGAGAAGAGGATACTAAACACACAAAAGGGAGGCCTCGCCCTCCTTACTTAAACACCCAAATCAAATTTTACGCTGGAGCTAAAGCTCTGGGGAGCTGAAAATACTTCATGGCCGCTCACAGTTTGGCGGTGGCTCCGACAAGAATCTTAATGGCAAGATAGATTATTACTGCGGGGGCGGAAATTGGGGCTACTGCAGAATGATCCGTAAAACAGACATTTATAAGATGTGGGTTAATCGGATCATAACAAGCATGCAACAACTGGATTGATAGCGGAGACTTTGTCGTGCATAGGGCGAATTCTACAGGTTAGCACTTTTGCAAATTGTTGGGGCTCAATATCGCGCTCAAAAACGGGTGGATTAGACGACTGAGCCGCCACCGAAGCTTCGGCACTGATCAGGCCGGGGGAGATTATCTCCCGAGGGTTAATCAGGGTAATTTAAGTAACATCCAGTTCCTTGAACTGCACCTGTAGCATTGATTCATCCAAAAAAAAAAAAAGAACCAACAATAGGACATAAAGGCAAGCATGCCAACAAAAAACATGAACGAATGCAACACAGTATGGATGAAACTTTGGAGCATCATCAAAATTTAAAGATGTACTCTGGAGCTGGCAAAAAAAAAAAAATGAAATGATACTTTCTGTATCATTTTGCAAATGAACAGAGGAGGTCAGCAGCACTGTATTGAACTCAGTAACATCAACGCTTATTCCAGGGCCTAGAAACTGGCAGCCCATGGGCCACATAAGGCCCGAGACCACACTCTGAGTGGCCCCTTGATTAAAAAAAAAAAAAAAAAAAAAGAAGATATTTAATCTACAGCATTTTTGTCATACTTGTGGTCGGAAACTGTGTGGTCCGATGTAGCTCCCCAGAAGCACTGATGAAAAATTGCCCCCCCCACCCCCCATCATTAAAGTGGACCATCCATGCCTTACTCTATATTGCGCTGACATTTATTAATTTTTTTCCTAATATAGAGCAGCGTATTTCCCAACGGAAGATCATAATAAATGAAATCTTGAAATTAAAATCTTATTTAAAGTTTATGATATTGTGCTACACTGCTTATCTTAGTATACTTTTTATCTCTGTATTTTCTCCTACCACTATATTTTAATAATCTAAACTTGGGGCTGCACCTCAATTTGATATCTGCACCATACGATAATAAAGGTTTTCTATTTCTATTCTATCTTCAGAGTATTACGAAAGCAAGTACCCGGTATGAATCAGGTCCAGAGAGGAAGGCGGACAAGTGAGAGCGAAATGAAAAGTGATTGTGACGGAAAGGAAAAGAGAAGTGCAGCATATGGGCCACTTTACAGCCTCGCCTTGGTAGGGGCCGGCTTGCCCTTCCTCCCAAGGGTTGTTAATAGAGAAGGTAATTGAGCCTGTGACATGTGTTGCCAATGAAAAACAAAGGGCAGAAGAGACAAATGAACTAGTTATTTGCCCAGGGAAGTAGATCTGGCTCTATTCATCCCACAGCTCAGAGTGCGAGTCGGCACCCTGAATAAAATATTGGCAGGCCCACGTAGAGCAGATGCATAGGAGGAAAAGAATAGTTAACTGACAGCTTATAGGCTCAGCTGGAGTGAACAGTTAAGGGGCGGGGGGA